TGTTACAATAATGGACACGCCTTATATTTTTTGGCATTTCTATTCCCTCTGACCCCACTGATAACAATCAACCCCTGACCCACCTACCTATCCAAACTTGTATAAAATAATTTGCCAAAAATGAAACACCTGTTCATCAGATGCAGTAGGACACAGTTCAGAAAAGTGTATGTCAAATAACTTAACACAGATCTTTAAGATGCTCTGCCTTTGTTGTTCATACTAAACATAACTCAGGGTGCAACTAAACAGTCAAGTTATCCCAGGTTGAATTGGGCTAAATAAGGTTGTTTCAAAGTTCAGTGTACCATTCAGAGCATTCACGGACAAGCACCGGGTGGTTTCGGAACAAGAAACCTCAAAGCAACCTTATTTAACCTATCCCTTCTACTCGACTTCCATTCCTTCATGTCTTTTTCCTGTCTCCAACTCCACCAAAGAATTGTGGGTTTTAAAAAATTCTTTATTATTAAGTACCATAGCTGTCCAAGTGATATAGAACACCCACCAGTACTACTTTGGTTCATATCAGTGATCACACATCCTGGAAACTCAACTCAAATGCAACAATCCTACTTATGCTAAAAACAAAACAAAACCAAAACAAAAAACAGTAGCCACTGCCAGTGATCAAAAAAGATGCAGATAACCATGAGAAATGCTTCGCAGTTGCCTGTACATCGTGTAGTCACCATAAACAGATCAACCCTGAACACACCAAAAGCAGTCAAAAACACAAGATAAAGTATCATCTGACTGTACCCTCATTCCTTTTTACTGTAGCGTCTTCCAAACCATCAAAAACAGGGTCTTGGACATAGAAGGGCAAACGCTGTTTAGCGCGGCCCTGAAAGTCTGCTCCCCGCTGCACTTTCAGCTACCCCTTACCCTCGGACGCAGACCCAGTTACCTACATCATCTAGAACAGCCACAAGACCGCTGGGCATTCACCCTCGCTAGATGCAACATAGTACCATCAAGTCTAGCGCAGGGTAGGTACAAGGGCTTACCAACAGAACTTCAAAGCAACCTTATTTAACCTATCCCTTCTACTCGACTTCCATTCCTTCATGTCTTTTTCCTGTCTCCAACTCCACCAAAGAATTGTGGGTTTTAAAAAATTCTTTATTATTAAGTACCATAGCTGCCCAAGTGATATAGAACACCCACCAGTACTACTTTGGTTCATATCAGTGATCACACATCCTGGAAACTCAACTCAAATGCAACAATCCTACTTATGCTAAAAACAAAACAAAACCAAAACAAAAAACAGTAGCCACTGCCAGTGATCAAAAAAGATGCAGATAACCATGAGAAATGCTTCGCAGTTGCCTGTACATCGTGTAGTCACCATAAACAGATCAACCCTGAACACACCAAAAGCAGTCAAAAACACAAGATAAAGTATCATCTGACTGCACCCATTCCTCTTTTTACTGTATACAATTTTATACTTTCCATTTCACACTCTTGTCAATGTTTGATATTTCTTCAAATAAAATGTTGACATAATTAAGGAAGGTATAAGAACTGTGGCCCTAGAAATGTGAGATGTGATAATTTTCTTGTGTATGTAGTACACTGGAAGGCTAAGTGATATACACTTTCACGTATTTTTACTATTAAAAACTTTGATTCTTGTGTATGTAGTACACTGGAAGGCTAAGTGATATACACTTTCATGTATTTTTACTATTAATTTTAAGATATGCACAGTACTCTTTGCTTTTTGATTGTGCGATTTTACCAGTTTTATTCCTCTAGTGAACTTCCAGGGCCAAGACCCTGGTCTCCACAGTTCTGCACAGTACTCTTTGCTTTTTGATTGTGCAATTTTACCAGTTTTATCCCTCTAGTGAACTTCCAGGGCCAAGAGCCTGGTCTCCACAGTTCTTGTTCATCACTCTATCCACTATATCACTCTGGTTATCCTTTTCAAAGCTATAAGTGCCTACAATTTTAGAATGTACTTAAAATATTGTCTTTGATATTTTTATTGTACCTTTTACACGCCTGCATTTTTGAAATAATATTGAAACCTGGGTCAAGTATATTGCCTGCATCTTAAGTTTTGCCTGTATATATTTTGGAGTGTGTTTGTTTTTCATCTGCATCTTGTCATAGTTATTACACAGCTTAAGTAACTGCAGCAGATAAATAAGAGTGTCTGTAACTCACAGGTTACATTTTTTTCCCCAACAGTTTTGAATATGTGGAATTACGGTATATTTTTCATGCATATGGAACATACAGTATAAGCAATTAGATGAATAAAGTTTATAAAGTAGGTAAGCTGATGTTGTGGATATGGATATCTACATAAAGACTTAAGAGAGTCATCACATCCGCATTTGTCCCATTGTTTGGTCTGCTGCAAGGAAGAGATGGTTCCTTCCTTTCCCCAGCAATCATATGATGTAATTTCAACAGCAAGCCAACCTGTTCCCAGAGCGTTCTTCCTGCACCTTTCTGAGCCCTTGTCAGGGGCTATTTTTTAGGTGCAGATAGAATTGCTGTTTTTCTTCATTTCCAGCACGTGCAATCACTGGAAATGAACCAAAGCATAGACTGGGGCTTTAAATCTGCATTTCTCTTTCAATTTGAATCATTAAGTTGCTTAAGAATATAGCCACTTGACAATATTAGGAAATTAAACACTTCCTCTGCTTTGTGGAGAGACAAAGAAAATAAAAGTTGTTTTTTAAAAATATATTAGGACACTACTGATGCACTGCATTATGGGAGAGGGGGACTTCCAGAAGCAGGAGGGGCCATGGACAAAGATTGTTTTTCTTTTCTCTTGCTTCCTTAAAGGAGCCGGACTAAATACTGTAGTCTTTTGGTGTGCATACCAGACCTTTATCCAACTTTAAGTGACCATTAGCCCACTCCAAATGAGGCTGTGTAGACAAGCCATTACTGTACTTCAGGAGTGAAACAATGGTTAGTACTCCTCTGGAGAGATCAAGCATTCAAAACTGAAACTACTTAAATTTTGATATCCTGATGAACTTTGATATGATGGACATGGTTATCTGATCTCACACTGAAATTAACCCTAATAAGGGGGAAATGTTGGCTGTGACAAATCTCCACAAATTCAAACTATCCATGTGTGCTGTAAAGCATACAGTGCTCTGAGGATATTGTTTGAGAGGATACATTGACATTCTTCTGGGATATCAAATTTTACAGGACCTACCCACAATCCCACAACATCCCTCACTTTCTTCCAATTTATTTTGTTTTCAGTCTTTTAAAAATGTATTCAGAGGGGCATTACCCTTTTGTAATTAAAGTACATAATGCAATATTTTATTCTCTGGTTTTCATCAGCTTCCTCAAAATACCATTCTTCATTTAAAAAAGAAAAAAAAAAGCTTTTCCCTAGAGCAGGGATGGGTAACTGTGGATATATATTTTTGGACTGAAATTCCTATAATCCCTCACACTCTCCTACACTGGATAAGGACCTGATGGAAGCTGTATGCAAAATGCATCTATATTTGCATATACTGTATATTTGGAAAAAGAGCTCTAACTAAGCATTCATTGTGGTTGGATCTGGCACAGGGCAGACTTTAAACTTGCTGGATCTATTCTTTAAAAACCAAAATTCTGGGCTTCCACCTGCTGATGTCAGTGCAAATACAGTACTGGTTCACAGACCAGATCCAAAACTGTGATTTAGTGAAGGTTTATATGTTTGAGATATGACTCCATATCTCAAACATATAAACCTACATTGAAGACAGCACAGATCTAACCACTTAGCAGTTCTGGACTCTCTACTTTCCAAAGATTTTGCTGTTGCTGCTTTTGCTGTTATCATTAATACTGTACTGTATAACCATTACATGCTATCAAGTCAATTCCAGCTTATGACAACCCTTTCCAGGGTTTTCTAGGTAGAGAATACACAGAAGTAGTTGACCATTCCCTTCTTCTGAGGGCATCATGGGCCTGTGCACCTTGGCCATGACTACACAGGCTGGCTCTTCTCTTGAGGAGCACAGTGGGGAACTGAACTCCCAAACTCAGATACCTAAACCACTGACCTATTTAGCTGTTACTATTAATGGTAAGAATTATACTCTGATCTACTGCAAGTTAACCCTTACAGAAAACCATGGCCCACCCCTGCATTAAGTGAGATATCCATGTGCAGAAGAAAGTCACTTTCAAAGACCGTTTCACCATCCTTTCACACAGTAAATTCCTCCTAAGATGACCCTTGCCAACTACAGCTATCAATAAATCACAATTGGTTTGAATCACATTTATCAATTGGGAATACTTTCAATCAATCAAAATGTTTTTGTTTTATTAATTTAACAAATTAAATTTGTTAAATTAAATTTCATACACCCCGAGTGCATGAAAAGCTCTGCAGATAATATTTTAAAATATTATCTGTAGAAAAGCTTTACAGATAATATTTTAAAACTGTGGACTCCCCTTTCTTTTCCACGGGCCAAACAGCGATCGCAAAGAGTCCCAAGGAAAGGGAACAAGAACAAATGATCGCCCGTGGTCACTCAGAAATCCCAATTAAGCCCAATACCCTCAGAGAAGCGTATACACGATTAGGTCTGAAGGCAACTGGGTCTACGGCTGGAAGGTATATGGAAAAGTTACATATATAGGACACTTAACTTTTATTTTTAAATTTGGGGGACTCGAGGCAACAGGGAATAAAAATAGGTGAGCCACGTAGCCGGAAAGAGGCACACAATGAAATCATGTAGTCCATTATTTTTTTAAAAAATGAAAGCACCCGAAGCATTGTGATGAGTGAAATGCGCCCAAGTAAGGAGATCTCTCCCCGAACCCACGAGGTACACACACGCTCGGTACCGCTGCCGCGCCTCTCCCGGGGCGACGTGGCTCGCGCGGATGCCGCCCCGCCCTTCCCTCCCCTCTAAGGCTTTCCAGGCACAAGGCGCCCTCGCGCTCCCCGCTAGATCGGTGGCAGCGAGAGCGACGTCCAGCTCCAGCCCTCGCGCTCAGCCGCCCAGGCCTAACGAAGCGAGCACCGATCCCACCGATGCCGGCAGCGGGCGACTCGAGGAGCTCGGCGCTCCCCGCCATTTTGGGCGCTTGAGGGGGGGGAGGGATGCGGAGTGGCGGCAGCGGCCGGAGCCCCATTAGCCGGCCTGCTGCTTTGCCTTGCCTTGCCGCCTCCTCCACCCCCATCTGGGCCCGGGCAATCCATCTCTCCAGACTCAGGTACTGACAAGTCTTCCCCCTCCCCTCCACTCCCCGCCCCGCCCCGCCCCAGCCTTCGCTTAGGTGTGGAAAGAGGGGATCAGCAGAAGGGTTGCTTCCGGGAGGAGATCGGAGGGGAGGGGAGGGGCTGGTCTCCACTGGGCCCCGCCCCCTCTGCCGCCCCCCTCCCGGGAAGTAGGGGGCTTCCCGACACTGCCTCCCTTGAGGCCAAGTTGCTTTCTTGGCTGATCCCCGCCCATTTGCAGGATACAATTTTGTTTAATTTTGTCCTTCACTTAATTCATTTTGTCCTTTCGTTTATCGGCTGGGTTGATGTATGTGCATCTGTTTTTTTTTATATGCAGCAGAAAGACCAGCTATTTGAAATTCATCATCATCATCATCATCATCCAAAGGTTCAGCTACCTCACGGCTCACGTCCTGTAAATACATTTCGAAGGAGATTTGGGTGAGAAACGGAGTGTGGTGTTAGGGAATTGCAGTGTTTTCTTGCAGAAACCTTTTTTAAGTTTGTCAGAATGCCCCTGGAGTCAGGTAGGTTTTGCAGCTCCTTGCAATGGTAGTAGAAATAGAGGTACTGTATCGCTTCAAAGGCTAATGGATTTGTGTCAGTGTGAACTTTCTTAGGTTGCAGTCCATTTTCTCAAGCACATGTCGCCTTATATTTACATCATACAGGGAGCTTTATATTTATGCTACAGGTTTACATAATACAGTACTGAGTACATAATACCGTAATAGGGGGAGGACCACTTGGAGTGTGAAAAGGGGATGAGGGTTTCATTGTTAATAAACTTTTGAAGTGACAAGGGTATTTTAAATAAAGTAACAAAATATTCAAAGTATTGCTTGTATAGACATACTTTTAGACTATAGAGAGCAATCAGCTTGTCTGTCCCTTGACAACCAGGGGTGCACTGCTGTGTTTGAGGTACAAATGTATTGGGCTGTTTGGTGAGGGCATGAACTATCCTAAGCAGTAGTATTGGGGCAGAGTTGGCAGAGAAAGTCAATTCTGAAACCAGTCTTTAGATTGCTGGGGATGTCCTAGTCCCTTGTGCTACAACTAATGCAGTATTAAGATTCCATCCGTTTCAAGCCTCTATGTATATGATTTATGTATGATTGTTTCAGGTTTCAGTATTAAACAGTTTTAGGTGCCTCTGTTGTGAATTGACATGGGTTGAATGCTGTGGTGATTGGCAACTAGGCAGCTGCTTGGTGGTTGGTTGGTGTGATTGGAGTTTTTTGGGAGTGCAGTTTTGAGAGTTGAGGTTTGACTCTCTAGAGCAGTGGTTCCCAACCTTGGGTCCCAGATGTTCTTGGGCTAAAATTCCCAGAAGCCTTCATTGGT